GTAATATAATCCACAAGTAATTAAAGTTTGGTCAAGTGGGTTTAATCAAGGAACAGCCATTAAATTTTATGCGCCTCTTATTCAATGAGCTTGCAGCTCAGCTAAACCTAGATATTAGAAAATACGTTTGTTTTGCTAAGGCTTTCACTAGTCGAGTCTTGTATTTATATTTACGAGCCTACGCAGCAAATGGCCTGTAAAAGTTAATGCTTATGTGTATACTCCCACACACACGCACACACATGCACATAGACAGCACACAGAATATCCATTAATCCATCAACGTGCGCTGCATTAGCACTTAAATTTGATGGCAACAGTGATAGAGAGAGAGAGAGAGAGAGAGAGAGAGAGAGAGAGAGAGAGAGAGAGAGAGACATCGATGTGGAAGAGCATAGGGAAAGAGAGAAGCTCAGAAGCAGATTGAAGCCGTAAGTCAATTTTAATTGAAACCGCAACAAAACAATTAAAACTAAGCTCGTCCAGAGCCAGAGGACCCTAAAAATGGGCCACGCTCCAACTGATTTCAGGACTGAGCTATAAACTTAACTTTGACACCAAACTCAATTAAAATGTTGTATAAAAATTGCATATGTATGCGGGCAGTTCGGGGAGTATCTTTAACTAACTAGTATGTAGATCCGTTCCGGACCGACTGCCGTTTCCTCTGACACTCCCGGTAAGTCCTCTTCCCACAGCAGCTGCTGCTGGGCTGCATAAATTAATAAACTTGATAGACCCCGCAGTCGGAAGAGAGGGAGAGGGAGAGAGAGAGAAATAGTGGGAGTGTGGGCTTAGAGGTGGGAGCAGCTAGCATAAAATTTCAAACGAGCTGGCAGTGCGGGACAGCACGTACGGCCAGAGAGTGGCTGCAATTAAAATTTTAGTGCTCCGCAGGATGCGAGGGGGACGTACAGCGGGCTGGCATATGGCGGGGACACAGAGGCTGTGGGCTGGGCATTTTGTTTCTAGGCCTGCAATAGGCGACACGAGCGTCCGTTTGTCAAGCTCTCTCAAAACATACGCCGACAATTAAGTACACACACACAGACACACACACACACACACACACTCACACACACACACACGATGACACACACACACACTCATACGCACATATGTTCAGGTCCAGCAGCTGCTGCCGCAAATTCAAATCGATAGGCGGCATCCTGCCGTGGGTATAAATAAATTGTGTTGCATACTTTTATGCGCACTGCAATCGCTTGTTGTTCTTGCAGCGCGTTGCTGCACCTGGCCGGACTTTCGGTCAATGACAATATTTGTAAAGCGCTTAATGATGCATGCGTGTGTGCGTGCGTGCGTGTGTATGTGTGTGTGTGTGCGTGTGTGTAGTGCTCTCACTTACAGTTTCCATCGAGCTCTCTCTATCTCTCTCTGTCTCGCCCTCTAATGCTTTATGTATGTAGAAGTTTTTGGCAATACTGAAGAGCGTATGTTACGCACACACACGCACACTCATGTGCACACAATTTACTCTGCCGTGCTGTCAACACAGCTCGCTCTAGTGCACGCAGTTGGCAGGGTTGCCAGCTGCTTGTCAGTGTAATAGAACTGCAACCCATGAAATTTAAGAGTTTACATCTATTGTTTGTTTTCTTGTGGATGTATTTTATACAAATGCTTGCCAATGTATAAATACAGAATTTACCTTGCACACACATTCGTTACTAAACAATATGATTTTTTTTTTTTTGTTTTGTTTCTTTTTTTCAGCCTCTCAGTTTCTTCACTTAATTATCCCTTTTATTGTATTTCATTTTCACTGCCTTCAACTGAATTTAATAGCTGCTACATATATATATATTATATATATAGAATATTTGCTTATGGTTTTCCCGGCAAGCAAACAAAAATTCCTTCCACATAATTCCAGTTGGCCAAGTAAAGTGAATGTCCCGTGCGGCAAGGCATTCCTGAAGCATAACTAAATGTAATTGCAAAATCGTCGGCATGCATTTCAATTGTAATTTACTGAGGAATTTCATACAATGAAATGCAATTATGAAGAAATTCCAGAGACGAAGTTGGCCCATCTGGCAACTCTGGCCACTTGCAGCACTGAATTTTACACGAATAAACCAAAATATATAATTAAAACCTATTGTGTGTGTGCGTTTGTGTCTGTGTGTGTGTTTGTGTGTATGAGTAGTTATTTAAAACTGTTTGCCAACATTTTCTTTATATCTGTCAACAACTTCTCCCTCTAATGGACTGTAATTACATATATGATGTGGCTGTCTGTCTTATCGTTACTCACATTTGAATTTAGTTGATGGTGTTTGCCTTGACGCCGCAGCGCTTGTTGTGGCCTCCGTTCTCGTTGAAGAGTGTGTAATTAAATGTCAGCTACAGTTTGGAGCTGTGACACAAACACGCATCAAATTTAACAGCAACGGGCATTTCCGTGTGCAGCGTGCAGGTCTCTAAAACACACACAAACAAAGTTTGACAGTCACACGTTGATAAAGTTCGACAGTCACATGCAATGATGGTGACAAAGCTGAGGCACTGAAAAAGTTAAAAAATCACTAGCTTAGATTTTGGCAATCAAATAATTTAAAGGAAAAAGTCTACTGCACATTAATGAGCCCAACAGTTTTAAAGCCACTGGCTCACATTAAATAGTTGTGCACAGTTGTGATTTTTAATTGTTAGAAATTAAGTGTAGTTTCTATTTCATAATCGAAACTGAGTTTGAGAACATAATAGAAAATCTTATGGGCAAAGTGTAAAAGTTTGACAGTCTTAGGTATGTAAGTTTGACAGCCACTTGATGGTCACGAACTTAAAGCTTAAGTCAGTTCTCTATGATTTCGAAACATATACCAGATCCCGCTGGTTGCTTTTAAAGCACGTAGATCTTTATTCAATAATTTCTCAGAGGCACAATTAGCGATCGATCTCACCAAAGACAATGTCCAGTGAGCCAATAATGGCCACAACGTCGGCCAAGAGATACGATGGGGACAGCTTGCTGAGCAGCGCCAGATGCGTGTAGGAGGCAGCCCGAATCTTGCAGCGATAGGGCCGAGAGCCGCCGTCGGAGACGAGATAAACGCCAAATTCGCCCTTGGGCGACTCAATGGCCGTGTACGTCGCGCCGGGCGGCACGTTGTAGCCCTGCGAGAAGAACTTGAAATGATGTATCAGATCCTCCATGCCCGTCTTCATCTTGCTGCGCTGGGGCGGCGCTACCTTGCGATCGTCCACCTTGATGTTGCCCGGGGGCATCTGGTCCAGGCACTGCAGCATGATGCTGCACGACTCGCGCATCTCACGCATGCGCACCAGATAGCGATCGTAGCAGTCGCCCTGCGACCCGATGGGCACATTGAATTTCATTGCGGCATAGGCATCGTAGGGCTGCTGCTTGCGCAGGTCCCACTTGACCCCAGTGGCCCGCAGCACGGGTCCCGTGCAGCCATAGTTGAGTGCCTCGTGCGCCGAGATTCGGCCGATGTCAATGTTGCGCATGCGCCAAATTCGATTATCGGTGACAACATCCTCGACCTCATCGAGCCGATGGGTGAAGGCCTTGAGGAATTCATACAGATCCTTGCCGTACCCCAGGGGCATATCCATGGCCACACCACCGGGCCGTATATAGGCCGCGTGGAGGCGAGCCCCGGACAGACGCTCGGAGAACTCGTACAGCTTCTCGCGCTCCTCGAACAGCCAGAAGAGGGGCGTAATAGCGCCACAGTCCAGCACAGAGGTGCCAATGGCCATGGTGTGGTTGGTGAGGCGCATCAGCTCCCCGCACAAGGTGCGTATGTACTTGGCCCGGGGCGGGACCTCGATGTTCAGCAGCTTCTCCACGGCCAGGGCGTAGGCCTGCTCGCAGGACATGCAGGACACGTAGTCGGTGCGAGCGAAATAGGGCACGGCCTGTGTATATGTCTTGTGCTCGATCAGTTTCTCGGTGCCGCGATGAAGTAAGCCAATGTGGGGGTCGGCCGACAACACCGTCTCATTGTCTAGCTCCAGCATCATGCGGAGCACACCATGGGCCGCCGGATGAGCAGGTCCAAAATTGACGAACTTAGAGCGAAATGTGCGATCCATGGGCGGAACGACCTTTCCCTTCGGATTCGGTGGTTTCTTCCACTCATCGCCCACGGGATAGAACACTATATTCTCAGACTCCTTCAAAAACTCCGGATCCGGATACCAAGAGTGAGAGTGGCGCGGCTCATACGGCGGACCCCGTGGATGGTAAGCGTCCCAGTCGTAATCACACGGCGGCTGCTCGCGACAGCACTCCTCGCTAGACTCTGTGAATGGAAGCAAGCTCTGGTTATAGGAATTCCCAGCAACTGAGCACGTCGCACTTACGCGAAGACGTAAAGTAACGCGAATTCATCCACTGGGGCATTTTCACTGACCAAACGGGTCGCTTGAAGTTCCACTTGAAGTTGTACGCACTCGGCGATAGGTACTTCTCTGAAAGCGTGTTTCGAAAGGCATTGAAACGACTTATCTCCGAGGGCGTGAATAGCTTTTCCGCAATCTCACGGATTTTATTCATTCGCGGCGCCATTTTCAAGTCGAATGTGGCAAGAAAAAGTTACTGAATATTTTTTAAAATTCTAATAATTACAAGAGATGATGTTTAGGGTCTACAAGTCTTTGCAATTGACGAGCTTTGCTAAGACTACTTCGATAATAATACTTTGATGGCAAACATAAATCGAAATCGATAATCGATTTTCGTTAAACTAACGGAGAAGTTGGACGATATCTAACTTCTTGCTTGCAAATTTGAGCTTACAACCTTGATGAGCTTTAAAGATGCAATATATGTATATTAAACTCTGTCTGATTTGCTTTAGAATTTATTAGAAATCTTATATGAATATTATATAATCTCCAGGCCAAGAACTCAAATCGAATTCAATTCCCTAACTTCCCTGATATTTCTTAGTTTCTGTTTCTTCACATGCAAGCTAATTGTTTTCGATTTACGTTTCATTCCACAGATCTTCGATGATCACTACCATTTCGCGCATCACAAGGTGTCGAAGCGCTCCCTGACGCCCGCCTCACACCATCAGACCCGCCTCGACTTGGACGAGCGCGTGCATTGGGCCAAACAGCAACGGGCCAAGTCGCGTTCGAAGCGCGATTTCATACGAATGCGGCCATCGCGAACCTCGTCCCGGGCCATGTCGCTGGTGGATGCAGTGTCCTTCGATGACCCGAAGTGGCCGCAGATGTGGTATCTGGTAAGTGGGTGAACTTGTTGGGCTTGGAGCTGAAGCTAAGGCATCTATATTCCACAGAATCGAGGCAATGGTCTGGACATGAATGTGATACCCGCCTGGAAGGAGGGCATAACTGGCAAGGGCGTCGTGGTGACCATACTCGACGATGGACTGGAGTCCAATCATCCGGACATTGAGCAGAACTACGTAATACAGACAACAACATGCATATATCAGGGGGCAAGGGTTTTCTAACATTGTGTGTTTGTCCCTTCGACAGGATCCCAAGGCCTCGTACGATGTGAATAGCCACGATGATGACCCGATGCCGCACTACGACATGACCGACTCGAATCGCCACGGCACTCGATGCGCGGGCGAGGTGGCTGCCACAGCGAACAACTCGTTCTGCGCGGTGGGCATTGCTTATGGGGCAAGTGTGGGCGGTGTGCGTATGCTGGACGGTGATGTGACTGATGCTGTGGAGGCGCGTTCGCTTTCGCTCAATCCGCAGCACATTGACATCTACAGCGCCTCGTGGGGGCCGGACGACGATGGCAAGACGGTGGATGGGCCCGGCGAGCTGGCCTCACGCGCCTTCATCGAGGGCACGACGAAGGGGCGTGGCGGCAAGGGAAGCATCTTCATTTGGGCATCTGGCAATGGGGGCAGGGAGATGGACAATTGCAATTGCGATGGCTATACGAACTCCATATGGACGCTGTCCATATCGAGCGCCACCGAGGAGGGCAACGTGCCATGGTATTCGGAGAAATGCAGCTCCACGCTGGCCACCACCTACAGCAGCGGCGGGCAGAGCGAGAAGCAGGTGGTCACCACAGATTTGCATCATTCATGTACCGCATCGCATACGGGCACCTCGGCCTCGGCACCGCTCGCCGCGGGCATTGCAGCCCTGGTGCTGCAGTCGAATCAGAATCTGACCTGGCGCGACCTGCAGCACATTGTGGTGCGCACCGCAAAGCCAGCGAATCTCAAGGATTCCAGCTGGTCGATCAACGGTGTTGGCCGACGTGTGAGCCACTCCTTTGGCTATGGCCTCATGGATGCGTCCGATATGGTACGCGTCGCGCGCACCTGGAAAACGGTGCCCGAGCAGCAGCGCTGCGAAATCAATGCTCCCCACGTGGACAAGTGAGTCACCGAGCGAACCCTTGAATATATTCACATCAGATTTCATTCAATTTCATATTCCTCACTCTTGCAGAGCCATTCCGCCACGCAAGCACATCACATTGCAACTGGCCGTCAATCACTGCCTCTCGGTCAATTACCTGGAGCACGTCCAGGCCAAGATCACCCTAACCTCCCAGCGACGCGGCGATATACAGCTATACCTGCGCTCGCCCGCAAATACGAGGGTGACGCTACTAACATCGCGGTGAGTTGAGTGAGGGACGAAGCGGGAAACAGTTGAAATGCATATGAAGTTTCTACAGTAAAGTGAAGTGATTAGAGTAAAGACTTCAAGTTTAGTTCAAAGATCGATGGGATAAAGGAAAGATTGTATTCAGTTATAAGACTAAGAAATTGATTATCGAATATCTCTAAGCGACCTATAGTAAACTCTCCATTGCATATTCCCCCACAGCATTCATGATAATTCACGTTCCGGCTTCAACCAGTGGCCCTTCATGTCGGTGCACACGTGGGGCGAGTCGCCGCACGGCAACTGGCAGCTGGAGATACACAACGAGGGACGCTACATGGGTAAGTTTGCGCCAGTTATCTATACTTATATATGAGCTATATGTATCAAGAGCTGTTCAAACGAAACAATTCTACATGCTGCGCTTTCTGTGGAACCACACACACAACCTAACACGCATTAACTCACCCATTGCTAACAAAACATCCACCACAAACAAAAAATCGAAAAACCCCCGAACTCGAATCAGGCCACGCCCTGTTGCGCGAATGGTCGCTGATCTTCTATGGGACCACGCTGACCATCGATCCAAAGGATCCGATATCGACGCCGCGTGGCGGCAGCGACGAGCAGGCGACCACGCCCAATTCGAGTGGAGGTCAGGGCAGCACCAGCAGCAACTTGCACCAGGTCTATTCGCCGCAGTATCCCCTCATATCGCCCAACAATTTCGCCCAGATGCCGGCAGGTGGGGCCAAGCTGCCACTGGGCAAAATGCCGCCCAATAAATCCAATTTGGTGACCAACAATCCGTTGCCGCCGGTGCCCCCACCCAAGCAGGGCTATCAGCAGATCTCTGCCACATATGGTGTTCTGCTGGGCAAGACCAACAGCAACAACAACAACAACAACAGTAAGGGAAACAACAAAGGCAACAACAAGGGCAACAAGGGCAACAAGTCAGGCAATGGCAAGGCCAACAACAGAAAGGAACAAACCATGCAGAGCGGCAACAGCAACAGCAGCAGTGGAAGTGGCAGCAACAAGAACAAATATTATCGCATATCCCAGCAGCACAGCGGAGGCGGAGGAGGCGGTGGCGGAGGAGGCGGTGGCGGTGGCGGTGGCAAGTCCAAGGGCCAGGCAAATGGGCTGCAAACGCAACGCCCAAAAGGCAGCTCGAGTGAAAAGTTTTATGATGAAAAAACGCGCAAAGTCATAGGCGAAATTAACAATAGCCACTCGAACAACAGCAGCAGCAACAACAATCGCGGCAATAATGGCTCGACGGGACCACGCCTACCCGGCAAGGCAGCCAAACAGGTGAAGGACAATAGCCAGCAGGACTCGCGCATACCGAAACTATTCGAGCACTACGAAAAGATTCAGGCCATATTTCCCGAGCTGGAGCCCTACGTGACCAGCAGCCAGCCCAAATCCAAGCCTGGTACGCAGCAACAGCAGCAGCCTACGCCACGCAAACAGGGCAAACAATTTGAAGTGGACCTGTTCCGGCCCACAATGGGCAATGCTGGCAGCAGCAGCAGCAGCAGCACCGGCAGCACCAAACCAGTCAACAGCAGCAAACCGGGCAACACAAAGAAGTCACCGTCCGCACCGCCGCCTCCATCGCACTCAATGTTGCCCGCGGGCGGCAGCAGTTTTTTGCCCGATCAGCGCATACTCAAAAAACAGCAGCTGCTGATGGCCGCCGCCGGTGTCCTGGCGCCCCAGGACGACAGCGCTGATAATGCGAATGCCAATGTTGACTCCGAGGAATCAGCTGGCGATGATGACTCAGAGGAGACCATTTTGCAGCTGGCGCCGAGCAGCTATCGCAAGGGCACCTCACCAAATGGTAGACGGAAAAGTGCACTTAACTAGCTCCAAGCTGATTTTGCTTAATTTCCTTTACTCTTCTTCCTCTATTATTTTTCTTGTCCACACAACGAGTCCAATGTGAGAAAGCAATGCACTTGATGTAAGCAATGGAAATACGAGAGAAACCCAATCAATCTGTTTTCCATTTTACCTGCTTCTTCTTCTTCTTAGCTGACTCTCGTCTGTTTGCACTTGGCTGAGCCTCAGCTGAAGCAATTGCCATTTATTAGATCTGCCTTTATTAGCTGATAATATCCCTGGTAAATGAAATATATAGTCCGCTCTGGACTGGACTTAACAGCTCAACGGCTAATAGTACACATTTTTAGCTTTTCATATATTTTATATTAAATAATTAATGAAAATGAATACGGAAATTCATTTTTCAAAATATAAAAAGATCAAACTCAATAAAACAAAATTTCAATTTGATTAAAATTAATTCAATATTTTATAAAAACTTAAATGAATTCATTTTTATTAAACAAATGTTTTTTAAATAATATGTAAGAAAATTCAACATTAATATTCCATAAAAAAGAGGATCTTCAAGTACTCTCTAGTCCATTTGAGTTATTTGCTGAGTTCGACCATAAATCAACGTCAAACAAAAAACAAAAAATATACTGAACTATCCCAAAAATGGAAGTACATGAAATACTATCGATTGTGCCAGCGATAGTTTTTACCTTTTGGCATAACTTTTCAAATTTGAACAGCAAGTTTAAGTAGAGTTAAATACTTGGCTGTAAGAGCTCTAAAGTTTCCTTATAATATTCTTAGTGAACAGTTTGACAGCCACTGGCAGACTTTCATCAATCAAAGCTCAAACTGAAAAGTACAAACTGCAAACGGCCAACAGTTAACTGAAGCGAGCAGAGTGCAGAGTGCAAAGTGCAAGTGCTGTTATTACTGTTGGTTGTCAGCAGCCAAAAATATACGCTGCACATTTATCACTTGTCCTCAACTTGAAAATTGTGTGTATTTAGCCTTTGTCACATCATTTGTTTTGTTCTCTGATAGATTTATTGGACCCTTGCACGCCCCTTTTGGGTTGGTTTGGTTCGTTTGGTTTATACATTTTCCAGGAATATTTCCATTTTAGTTTCATTTGTAATTTTGTCTGTTTTTTTTTTTTTTCATGTTGATTTTGATTTTGATTTCGAGTTGAAGCGATTCACAGCCTGCTCTAATACAATTTTGTTGCCTTACAGCCCAAATCACACAATGGGACATGATACTCTATGGCACCGAGGTGCCCTCGCAGCCCGACGACGAGCCCAACAAGAGCCAGCGCAATCAGTTCAATTTGTATGGCAACGATATGGCACACAACGACATCGAGCACGACGCCAGCGGACAATGGCGCAACATGCAACAGGTGAGCACAATGCCATTTGAATAATATAAACAACAACAACAACAACAAAATCAGGCCAGTGCTCAGGCAAAGGGAGGGGCAGAAATCTAGTGAGAGGAGCAGCTAGAAGCGAAATGAAAAGTGTGCTGGGGAGAGACACAAGTAGAAGATTGAAGAGAAGCAAAGCATGGGTAGCTCAGCATTAAGTCAAGTTTAGCAAGATCTCCCTCAGTTTCAGTAGACGATAAATTGATATTCAGTCAAAGTCAAAGTTGTAACTCTAAGAGAAGAAGAAGAAGCTTAGATCACACAAACATGCTTAGTAAGTTTTCTAACACTGCTTTTTCTTAACATTAATAAAAACAAATAATTAATAAATAATTATTCAGACAGCGCTTTAAGGCCTCAATAAATGCGATATATTTGTTTGTTTTTGCTTTTTTTCTTTTCTGTTTTTTTTTTGTTTTTTTTTTTTACTTTCTGGGGTATGCAGTGCTTTGCAAGCGGCTTGCCAGAGATTGAAGACGAAACCGAAACCGAAGTGGCAGCTCAAGCTGAAGCTGAAGCTGAGGATGAGCACATACAAAGTGTCCGCGCTCGACTGAGTCGACGTCAAGATAACGGCACAACTTTGCCTGCTTGCATGTGGCTGGCTTGAGAGACAATGCAAACGAGCTATCATACATTGATATATTAGGTCTACATATGATCTACTATATAGTAGTATATGACTTCTAGTCAGGCTGCCAGGCCTTAGACGCTTAGGAGCTTTTCCTTTTGGCAACGCTTTGCAAGCTGTTCGCTCTGTGTAGGTAGATTTACATTTTGAGTTACTGTTTGGCTTGCTTTTGGCTTTTCCTTTTACCATTTTGCACATCCCTTTCGAATTTTCCTTGGAGTCTTTCTTTTGCACTAACAATTTGCGCAGCTTTAATGCACAAGCTGCTCATAAATTTTCCACTATTTAGCATACGAAAATGCTCAATTTCAGTTTCTTCTTCTATCGCTAGCAAACTGAATCCAATTTTTTTGGCACAATTCATGACACACACACACAGACACATGCACACTTACTCTGTGCTTGCATCTTGGACTGGCCGATGATGGGCAAAGTGCCAAGCTCTTGCTACGCGATTTTTTGCCGTTTCCTGCCATTGTTAGGCGCAGTGGAGCAGCAGCATTAAATGCACTCAAATTCGTTTTGCATGTACAGTTTGAGAGCCAGCGCAGCAGCAACTATTGAAATTCTTGCACTCTAAACTACAGCGCGCTATTCAAGTGCACTTGGCATAGGCACAAAGCATTTCTCTCACTCTGAAATGGACAGTTCTTTAACCTTCTAGCAGCTTTTGTTGCTTAAAAGCTGCAGAAATGTATTTTTGTTGCTTCTACATTTTTGGCAGGTTGTATATATATATGTATGTATGTGTGTGTATGCTGTAATAAACTAAAAGTGCACTGACCTTTGACTTTTTATGCTGCTGCTAGCAAACTTTTTGCATAACTAACAATTTCAGCTGTTGGTAACACGCGACCTCATCGCATGTGAATGTTCTGTTAGACGCAAAGATACAGACAGAGAAAGAGAGACAGAGAGAGAGAGAGAGGGCAGTAGAAGACGTAGATAGCCGTATTTAGCCAACCATTTTTTGGTTAGGGCAGCAATAAATAAACACACACAAGCACACCCGGTTCATTTTCCATACATACTTAAGTACTTGGAACTGAAATGCCAGACATGGCGGCAACATGCAATGAACCACAACGGAAAGCAGACAGGCCCACCAAAGCGACCCAACTGGCCGTCCTCCCAGTCAGACATAGAGCATACAAAATTACCTTTAACCAGCACAGCATTTAAATGCCGAACTCTTTAAGGGCTGCCAGAAGGAAACTTGAAACTATCAGCGCAACTGAACTGATCTAGAAAGCCATTTGAAGTTTAAGCTCTGTCAAAAAATTCTAGGCAATCATTTATTTACAGGGTATATTTCTAAAAGTAAAGAACTTTGTTATACAATTAATAGACAAGCTGTTCAACAGAGTATAATAGCTTTTATTTATAGGTATTTTAATTAGTTGGTATGCCAAAGAGTATATTTGTAGAAGTTTGAACAATATTTATACTACATATAATATGAATACTAATATATACAGGATACATATGTGGGGTATACGACTGCATGTACAGAAGATATTCTGCAGAGCATAAATAGCGTGGAGTACAGAGAAAGTGAATACAGTATAAAGTGTATACAAAAAAGTTTATATTTATACTATATATTTACATATATTCAGAATACTACTGAAATTTAATACTATTTATCGTCTCTTAAACTATATTATTATTATTATTACTTTTCTATAATTTTACAAAAATGTTTATTAATTTATACAAGTTGTTCTGTTATACTTGGCGCAGACTGTCCAAGAGTCTTTGTTTATATTGCTCATACGCCACGTTGCACTTGATTCAACAAATTTGCGCACTGTCTTGAATTGATTATTAACGTATTTCTTCTTGCATTGGCTCTATTTTCTTTTGTCTTGCAGGTGGGCGAAGTGGGCATGGCCCAGGATCGTAGCAATGCAGCTGCATGCCTCAAGTGGAACGACCAGAAATGTTTAGGTTTGTCTTTAATCTTTCTACTCATAACACAAGTCTTCTATCTAAACTATAAACAAGCCATTGACAACAACAACAACAGCAACAACAATGGCAACAGCAACAAAAGCATTAGATAATTCAACAATAACAAAAGCAAAACTATTTACATAGCCAACAAACAAACACTGTAAAAAAAAAAAAAAAAAAAAAACAAATGTGAACAAACTTCAATTCCAAGTTTAAAGTTTGATCCACAAGCAAACAAAAAAAACATAGACAAAAGCATTCTGTGTGCTTGATTAAAGCATTTTCTAAGCTGTCGAAAATCAATTGAACAATAGCAAAATAAGCAACAAAAACCAACATAATAAATAAGCGTAGAAAACAAATATATATACATATATAAAAAAAAAAAAGAAACAAAAAAAAAACACTGCAAGTCCAAAAAATATACTAAAACTTTTTGTAGTTAAATTTAAATGTAAGACCTAGTTATACATACACATATACAACTAAATGTAGGCGTGACAGCTAACGACAAGCAGAAACAATATTAACAGCAAAAGAAAAGGTTGTTTCGCACAAACAGAACTAAAATAGTAGTTATGTTTAGTTAAAGACTATTTTTTAATTAATTTGTTAAGAGTTTAGTTGAATTTGTTCGTTGTTTTCGTTTAATTTTGTCATATTTTTTATTTTGTATAAATATTTTTACATATTTTTTTTATGCATTTAAAGTAAGGGTTTTCAATTTCCCTGTGCCAAAGTCATTTTTCGCATAGTTTTGCATGCATTGCGCCTTGGTTGCTACAGTTTTGAATGCGTTGGCCTGACGCGCCATTTTTAAAGGCTCTGGCTGACTGAGCAGACTTCTTGAGGCAGTGGCGCTCAACCCGTTTTGTTGAGTGTGTATGTGTGTGAGTGTGTGCTGTGTACATGTATCTTTACGTATATATGCATTTCAGATATTGCCAGGCCAGCCAAATAGCTACAGTTTGAGCAGCACTGTCTGCCATTTTCTTCTGCAGTAATTTTTATTATATTTTATTTGTAATTATTTGTGTGTGCCGCGCAATGCGAAGCAAAACAAAACAAAACAATAAATGTTCAACAGTTTAGAGTTCATAGTAAAAGACTGTTTCTAAAATTTAAACGTAAATCTTAACGAACAAAATTTTGAAATTCATTTAAGAGAAAAAAACTAAGTCGCATAAAACTTTAGTGTTAAGGCGTCAAAGCAAAGCAAACCAATTTTTGTATTAAAACTGTAACTAAAAAACAATAAAAATATTCTGATTAAGTAATAAAAAATAAAAAAATTAAAATAAACGAAAACGAAATACTAGGGTGTAGGGTACGACTACGTATTATATTAAAGTAGGCAAGAAACCAGGAATAACTAATTAAAAAATTATATAAACGTAAACTTAACAATTTATGCATATATATAGAAAAAGTTCCTGCAGTTTTTAACAAAGTTGCAATATGAAAAAAATAATAAAAATAAAAACCAGATTGAACAAAATGTAATAAAGAATGAATAAAATATAAAATAAAAATTAGCTAATTTTCTAGTGAGCATAGGAACGAATTAAATAAATGTAACGTCAATAAAAGCGCATAAAAAAGTTGAGGAAATGCCAGAAGTAAGCAAGAAACTTCTAGTCATTAATATTGTGCGCTGCAATATAGAATGTATACAATTAAAATGTAAAATGTAAAAATAAAGTTAAATTGATTTCCATATCAGAGCAAAATCGAATCGTTTTACAACACTCACATATCTTTGTTAAAATATTTGTTGTTCATCTTTTGCCAACATTTAAAGATTTATTTTGACGTGTGTAGTCGGTTGTAGAGATGAGCGACACGAATACATTTTCTTTCTATTTTCGTGCTCATCTCTAATGGAAAATAAGTTTAACAAAATATCGAAACAAAATCAAAACGTAACGCGAGTGCAATAATTATTTCTAATTCTCTGTCTCTTTTCCTCTATCTCTATCTCTCTCTCCGTCATACACTAAGCAACAATAATTACAACGTAAATCAAACAACTTTCTCTCAGTTTAATTACTCCAATCTATAGAATTTAAATAGTAATACATAGCGCATATCATTTGATATAATATTTTTGTTTGTTTAATGTTTTTATTTTTTGTTCACTCTATACGGATAATTATTTGTTGCTTGCTGTTGAAATGAATAATCATATCGTAATTGCACAATAAATAAATTTTTTAAATACAAATATACTGTAAACATATTAATTTTTGCTTAAATTGCTTTGATTAATTTTCTCGTTGTACTTAGCAAACTGATATAAAAACACAAACCGATATTAGAAATCAATAATAATTTTTAACAATAACTTAGCCGTTTTATATATGTCGAATTGCAACAAACTGATATTGAATCAAGTATATACCATAAATAGCAGCGAGAATAAAATGAAAATGTCTAACTAAATCATAAGACTACAAACTAAAATACAAAATAATAATAATCAATATATATGTATATATATTTTCCAAACAATTTTTCATAAGTTTTTCCAAATTTGTTCTCTACTTATGAATTTCATTTAATTACAATAACTCATTGCTGGCTGCGGTACTTATGCTTCAACACTTTTCAGAAAAAGGAAACCTAAAATATAAAAGCCAAATTAGTATTTAAGCGCAAACTAAATAATAATATAAACAAGAAAAATGACGAACAAAAGAAATCGAAATTTAAACAAACTAAAATGGTACTAGGGCCTGGGGTAGCTATTAAAAATTAAAGTTAAATTTAAAATTACAAAAATAAACCAGCTGCAATTTCGAAAAAATACTAAATTTGTGCGAAAACTTAAAACTTAAATGTAAAAAAAAAAAAATTAAACAAAAATAATGAATATAAGAAGAAAGTAAAACTGAAATATTATTGTAAATGAGATTTGATGGCCGCTATTTCGAACCAACAATTTTGTATGTATCTTTTGTGTATATATATAACTATATATAATTATACTATATATAGTGTATACATATATATACGTATATCTATCAATATAACTATCTGAGTAATAAATAAATGCATTGAAAACGTAACAAAATATTTAATTTACGCAAAACAAATTTTTGCGAAACTTTTTTTGCAACAACAAAGTTTTTCTCACTGCGCAGTAAGAACAAAAAGAAATGTGGTCCAAAAACATTTTAGACAGTTACAAAATTGAACACTCCGTCCCCTTCTCGTATAGCTCAAAAGCAAGGTGAGTTTGGCAAAAATACAAAAAAAAAAAAAGTTATAAAAATTTAGCAACATTGAACTTTTCAAATTTCCTAAGTACTCTTTAGTGTTGTGTAATTTTTTGTTTTTTTAACCCATGTACTCGGCGTACTGTGCTGCTGTGTGATTATTAACACTGTAATTTGGTATTCCTATTCGTTAAACTCGTAAAATCTGTAATTTAACATAGTTGTTTAATGCACTCTCACACTGTTCATCGTTATGGCTTGTTTACTTTCCAACACTGGTTTCGGTACAGCACACACGCACATCCCTCTTGATTTTCCACTATTATTTTGAGCATGTTTTTTGGACTACTGCGCTTGCTTTTAAACATTTGTTGTTAATAGAAAAGTTTCAGCTGAGACTCAACTATTGCAAAAAAAAAAAGAAAAAACAGATAAATAAAAAAAAGTAAATAATTCAAAATGTAATTCTTTTGTTGCCTATGTTTCGTACACAATACTCTTTTACGTTTTAATTTCAACTCTTCTACTGCTCTACTAACTAAACATTGCTATTTTCCAATTTCTCTGCACCATTTATCAACACTGTTTCGGAGGTAAATGGTTTCTCATCATTGGTTAGTTGTAACCAGTTCCTTATCTCTTATCTATTCATCGCTCAGGTGTGAACTAATTCTCTTCATTAACTGCTCTTCACAGAATGCCAGGAGCCCAGCTACTTCTATCAGGACCTTTGCTATGACGAGTGCCCCCAACACACCTATCCCCAGACTCATGCGGATGAGCTTGATCTGGACGTAGAGCTTAGCGATCCAGATATCACAGCCGCTAATGCTATACCAGACGTCGATAATGAGCTGCACAGCAAAGATCGAACTTTCAGCGATCTGAACGATCCGCTGCAGGCGGCTGAACGTCGACGTCGTAGCAGTGACTCCAGCAGCACCGTGCTTTTGACACCCCGTCACAGTCGCATCTGCTCCAGCTGTGACAAGAGCTGCCTGCGCTGCTTTGGCCCCAGCGCCTCCCAGTGCAGCACCTGCTATCCGGGCAGCCAGCTGCGCAAGCTGGCTGAGACCAATGAAACCTACTGCTACGCCTACGTTGTGCGCAGCACCGTGGTGGATGTCTCCAATCCGACCCAACTGGAAACCGATGCCAAGGTCCAGTACATGAGCTGGACCGCTGCGCTGCTTGTGATTGCTGTTATTGTATCACTGGTGGGCGTGGGAGTGGCGGGCGGAGTGCTCTACCAACGGAGAGAGGCCAAGTCGGAGCTCTATACCCGCGTCGCTCTGATTGCCGACGATGAAGCCGACGACAGTGGCGAGGACCAGGAGGACGAGCTCTTCAATGCACGACATCATCATCATCCGAGCGATGTGCTCGAATATCACGATGAGCTGCAGTCAAGTCAGCTGCCCAGTGAGTCGCTTAAAGATGGGGAGGTCGAAGAGGAGTTGGAGGAGCACGCCCAGCTGGTGCCCAAGTAACCCAAGTCTGGCAGCCTATTTAAATAGTCCTAAGTGCATTTACATCTAGTTACAACTCATATAAAGCTCAAGCGGAAACTCATAACACCATGCGTGTTTTTGGTAAACTGTTATAGCTTACGATTTGACATCATATTTATTGATCGATCTTTCGAGTGGGCATTCAGCCCAAAGTCCATATACTCTTTTCACTATATGAACGAGTATCACAAATAAAAAGCACATTTTTACATTCAAACAAGTTTCTGCGATTTATTTCTACTACGCACCTAAATTATTTATTTTTCTTGAAACTGATTTTCCAAAATGTATTATCCTAGTTTTAAGCTAAACACTAAATAAATCAAATATATATTCCAATTATATAAATTATAACAAAATAATGTTTATTATTTATTTCAAGACATTTTCAAATTTTTAGTCTGATTTTTAAATTTATAAATTCAATAATTTGTTAGCTTTGTCTAATAATTTCTTTGGCTTTCTTGGCACATGATAGCTGATGACCTTATACCAAGGTTACCTATATACAAACTGTGGTATTCCGCCATATCCAACAGAGGCATGGTTTCCTCATTTAATTCAATGTATGGCATCCTTTAATGGTTAGCTTTAAATTATATACACATATTAGTCATGCACTCATAAGATATGTGGGCTCTTCCACAAAATTCATAATTATTAGCACTTAGCTAGAGTTTATTGATGTATTTGTATATTGTGTAGAGCAACAGAAATAATTCACCAGTTAGCATTACGAGTGTCATGAAGTATCATTTGCTCGCCTCTCAGTGGCACTATAGCACTCGGAATCTATTGACAATATGTGCTCGTCTATATGTATATGTATATATCGCATTATACATTAGGTTCGATGAGAGCTCTAGCTGATAGTCGCTTATCAGCCGCTGCCTGGAGTGCATCTTTAGCAGTGGGACTGTAAGCTAGCCTGAAGAGCTTTATTTGTGCACATAAGTCGCTCGATCGTTTGCTATATAAGCGAAGAGCCCGCTTGGCTCTGGCAACAGTTTTACGAAAATGCAGTTCGGCTATGGAAGTGCAGCTCTACTTTTGGCAGCCTGCTGCCTGTGCACGGCGGGGCACGCCTGCAAGACCATCGAGCAGCGCTTCAAGTTCGGCAACAGCGACATCTATTTGAGGCTTCGACGTGGCGGCAAGCTGCAATACGAGCTGATGAAGGGCAGCAGCTTGCTGCAGACCGTGACCTTGGATAACTTTGTCACCAGCAGCAACCTGGAAGCCACATCGACAGGTGGCTTCAAGCTGAGCGATGGCAGCACCACCATCGAATTTAGCTTGGTCCTATCCAGCAGCAGTGTGTCCCATGTCCGTGTGGTTCGCGATCAAGTGGTGAAGGGCACCCAGCCCAGGGATTGTGTGAGGCTGAATAAGGGACGCGTCCATTGGTTTGGTGGCTCGGAGCAGAAGCAACACTATTGGCCCGTGGAGCGTCAGCAATATAGTAACTTCTCGTATGTGCCCAAGGAGTGGGGTAATATGGGCGTGGCAGAGCGGTACTGGCTGAACAGCGAGGGCTTCTTCCTATTCGTGGATAATACAACTCCGCTGTTTATTGATCAGAATGCAGCTGGCCTGGAGGATCAGCTCTGCATCAGTGCATTCAGTGCCCTGCCCTATGACAGGCGGCTATCCTCATCTAAATTTAGCTATCACCTTGGCTTTGCCAAGGATGCAAAGGCTGCCCATATGTATGCGGTGAAGACGCTGCTAGGCAAGCCCACAGGCTATCCCGATGAGCGCATGGTTCAGCATCCGGTTTGGTCCACCTGGGCGCTATACAAGGCGGAGGTCTCCGACGCGGTCGTGCGCGACTTTGCGAAGCAAATTCTTGATAATGGCTTTGAGAACAGTCAGCTGGAGATTGACGACGATTGGGAGGACTGCTATGGCGCTCTGACGTTCCGTAAAAGAAAGTTTCCAGATGCCAAGAAACTGACAGACGATCTCAAGGCCTTGGGCTTCAGGGTAACCCTATGGATTCACCCCTTCATTAACAACAACTGCACAGCCATCTACAAAACGGCCAAGGATCTGGGCTATCTGGTGGTAAATCAAGCCGGCAGTGCCGATACGCAGTGGTGGAACAGCAAGCCAAAGGATGCAGCCTATCTGGATTTCACCAAGCCCGCAGTGCAGGAGTGGTTCACCACTCGCCTGAAACGCCTGCAGACAGAGGATGGCATCGATAGCTTCAAATTTGATGCCGGCGAGACCAGCTGGATACCCACAGATCCGGTGCTCCAGGGTGATGCAAATGAAGCCCCGCTACAGATTACCGCCGACTATGTGCGCACAGTGGCCGCCTTTGGCGATATGGTAGAGGTGCGCTCTGGCCAGGGCACGCAGGACTTGCCCATATTTGTGCGCATTGTTGACAAAGATTCCGAGTGGGGCTGGAACAATGGCCTGGTGACTCTGATCACTTCGCTGCTACAGATGAACATGAATGGATATCCCTTTGTGCTACCCGACATGATTGGCGGCAATGGCTACAATGAGAAGCCGCCCACGAAGGAGCTATTCCTACGCTGGCTGCAGGCCAATGTCTTCATGCCCAGCCTGCAGTTCTCGTTTGTGCCCTGGAACTTTGACATGGAAACTATTGAGATTAGCAAGACCTTCACCAAGATGCATTCCGACTATACGCCCTACATAATGAAGATGTTCAAGCGCGCCACGGAAACTGGCGAACCTGTCAACGCTCCCCTCTGGTGGATTGCGCCCGATGATGTAGTTGCTCAGAGCATCTACGATGGTATGTGGACTGTACCAATATGATTATCAATCATTAACCTAATTGCGAATCCCTTTCAATATCTCTACAGAATTTTTGCTGGGCGATGACATCATTGCAGCTCCGGTTATTGTGGAAAATGCTCGAAATCGCGACATTTACTTGCCCGAGGGAGAGTGGACCGATGGAAACACCGGGACCATCTACAAGGGTCCCGTCTGGCTCATGGAGTACTCTGCACCACTGGACACATTACCCCACTTTGTGCGCGTGGGCTTTAAGTTGGAATAAATGATGACGGTTTCCAAGCGTAAATTTTTTTAAATATTTTTATAGTAATAAACGGAAAATTACATTAAAATCAATTAATTTTTTTATGCTGGTTGACTAATGCTTAAACTAAACATTAAGCGAAAATATACAATTTTAAAACAGTCTTAAATTTTGTAAACGAATGTCGATTGTCTCTTAAACTGATCAAAAGGTCAGTGAATCGTAATCGCAAGCGTAAACATTACTTTTACAGATGATATCTTAGGACTAGTTGAATAAACTTAAATTTAATCACAAATTTGACATAAAATATTTACTTGTCTCCAAGAAAACAGAAATTTTACGATAAACCAAATAACTAACGCAAATAAGGATGGGTATCCTATGAGTATACAATCAATTAACCATTAATCACGTACAATTTCGTTCAATGGAAATGGGGCTAATGCATCCGACTGCTATCCACATGATTAACAGGCTTGTGCTGGTCTACAGCTTGGCTGGAAAGACCGCGCAGATAATCTTTTAGCAACGGCTCCGGCGAATCACCAGAGCCGGAAAAGCTGAGCGCTGTGGTCGACCGGCGAAAGCAGCCGAACTCACGCTCAAACTCGTCAGCATCCTTGGTAAGAATACTCTTCAGATTGAGCATCCTGTGAGGAAGTAACATGTCAATAGGGTAAGTTATATGTCTTACTGTCATATTTCGTTTAACTTACTGTGGCATGGTCTTTTCACTCTCCATTCTCTTCTCGTACATGGCCAGTTTGAGGGCGTGGACACGCTTGGCACTGCGCCGCCATTGCTTCTTGTATCGATCCTTGGCCTTGCACATGTCCATGTAGCGTACGTTTTGGAGGCGCATCTCACTGAGCACCTCCTGCAGTTTGTTGCCACTGGTGCCCTGCTGGCGCAGTTGTTCTATTTGGAGCTCCATTTTATTGATGCGTTGCTTTAATTGAGTTTTCTCGTTCTCCAGCTTTGAGTTCATTTCCTGCATATCCTGTGTGCGGCTTTCAAACTTACGCAAATGCTGCTCCAACTCACCTATGTGCTGCTCTAGCTCAACAAATTTGGACTCGTAATCAGCACTAATATTAGTCATATTAGGGATACTCTTTGGTGTTTCATCGTTTGATGTCTGCTGCGATGATTCCGCCTCAGATCGGTACATACTTAAACTGTCCATGTATTCTTGCGTCTTCCGTTGCATCTCGTCCTGCAGTTTCCTGCCAGTTGCCAAAATGAGCTTGATGCTTTCATTCATGTTGGTGATATCCGTGTTCACGCTCTGGTTCACAAGTGTGGTGCCATCTCTGGCTCGCTCTTCTGCAACTTTTGTTTCATCGTACATGTGCACTGTAACCTCCAAGCGGGAGACGGGTGCAGCGGCGCCCAGCTGGGCTGGAGCAGAATTCTTCTCTTTTAGAGCACAGAGCTTGCCGATGACCGTCTGCTGCAAGTGATTGACATCAGAAGACACTTTAGCTGTCCTTTTCTTCGAAAGTCCTTTCCTCCCTATCGACTCCAGCTCAAGCGACTCTGCTTCCCAATGTTCGACTCCTGTTGCCTTGACGGTGCGTTTTTTTAATGGTTTCTCAGACTGGTCACCTACTTCCTGAGACTGATCCATGGCACATGCTTCTTCTGCATCTAAATATTTATGCAATGCAGACCGGTGTACAGTTTGCCGAGGCTTTTTCTCATACTTTCGAGTTGGACTGGAATCCAATTCTGAAGCCACATTCTCCGTTTTATGACGAATTCGTTCTCTGAGTTTGCTAGTATTGGGGGTCGATTGATTCGCAATAGGATTGGTACCAGGGTTAGAAATGGCATCCTGTGATTTATCACAGTCATTATTCTTTTTAATCACTTTGCGCTCAAGTTTCAACTGCTCTACGAAAGAACTTTCTGCACTAGTTTCAATTTTCAAATTCATTTCAGATACTATAATGTCCTGCGACGAATGGACATTGGAACACTGTTTTGTTGACACTTTAGGCTCAGGCATATATTCCTTAAAGGATTCATCCATTAATGAACTATCGATGTTTGCTTCCATTTCCGAGCTAACATTCATCTCACTATATTCAATATTCTTTCTAATAATCGAGCGTGATGTGCGGCCCAGTTTCTTCTTTTTTGGTTTCTTTGAGCTCTGAGAACACTGTTCTTCAACTGAGAGTACATCGAGGTCTGCTTTGCAGCTGTCTGCAATGAACTGTTCAGTTTCTTCCAAGGCTCGAGCCTGCTCCTTGCTTACCTCCACCCAGCGAGCGCTTAGAGAAAGGTCCGCTTTTGAAGTCGACGACCTATTCGGTTTTGGTATTTTCTTAGGTAATACTGATTCACTAGATTTACATTTCTTTTCGGAATTTGGCATTGGTTTGCTTTTGGGTGCATTTGGCTTCTGAATCCATTCTTCCAGCATATCCGTTTCCGTTGGCATGTGCATGTCAAGAATTACGTTTTCGGGCTTTTTGCCAACTTTACCTCGGAGAATATGTTCTAATTTCTGTCTAGCTGAGTCGGACCCAACGGCTTCTAGATTTTCCTGTGACGACATATATTTATTTCCCCGCAAGCGCGAGGTGGACGTTGATGTGTCCAACATCTCCAAGTGTTCTGTTTTTGACACAATCTTCTTCCTACGTATGACTTTTGGTTTATTGTCAAATGAATCATCCGTAGAGTTTATATGGGAATATTTTTTGCTATGATCATCCGTCATTTCAGGTAATGTAGCATCTAGAAAGCTTGTGTTCAGGTCAACTGCTTCGACTCGAGCTGTCTGCGCTTGGGACTTTCGTGTTTTAGAAGCAGCTCTTGGACTTGAGTTAGTCATTAACTCCCCTTCCAAGTTATGTTTAATATTTTGCTTTGTCGCTTGTTTTGACGAACTCTTTTCATATTCTTGCTCCAATTCAGCCCAAGAATCATCTATAATACTGTCATCAATCGTATAGTTCTGAATATTATTATCTGAATGTTTTTTTCCCTTTCGTTTTGGCATTTGCTCCCTAAGTAGCATCTCTTCCTGCAGAAATCTAGTTGCCTCTTCATCTATGCGCTGTAATTCCAGAATACTCCTTTTCTTTGCACTATCCCCATGTAATCCCCTCAGTTTCTCATCTTTTGCTGCGTTGGATGGAGTTTTTTCTAAGCCAGAAGCTGTTGAACTGCTATGTTTATGTTTAGGTTTAGGCTTAGGTTTCTTGGAGTCATGAACACGACCCGCCAGCCAGTCATCCGCTCTCTTGTAACTTTCGTTTCCAACATAAGAATCAGAGTCAACATCATCATCTAAATCAATTGAATCATCACGACACTGATTGTGTTTATGATTCGACCTTGTTGGCAGTTTTCTGGTAACAAGCTTTGGATCATAATGATGGTCTTCATCTTCTTCCTCATTATCATATTGAACGGGTTTATCTATGAGCCTTATAAATTTCCTGCGCCGTCCTTGAGATGAATGTACAGTTGACGCTACATCGGAATCTTGCACTGACTCCAAGGGTGCTTCTCGTTCATCCGACTCGGAAAGCTCAGCACCTACGTTCAAACTATCCACGGATCCATTTCCAGAAACGGATTGCATTTCGGAATTACGGGTCCATTCAACCCCGTTATCAAATACACGATCTTTAGGAACTTCGAGTATGACAGCTTTGGCGCCCACTGATTGTATGTCCAACGAGTCTTCATGCAGTTGCTGCTGCGTCAGCGGCGGTTCCTCCAGCTTTTCCTGCTGGCGCCAGTACACCTCCTGTATATCCACCGTAAATGTGAAATCCATGATTGGCTTCACCTCACGCGCACTGCCCTTGCGACTGAAGCGGTCAAAAGAAAAGCAACCGCTGTGTACATATTTACGATTGTCCGCAAAATAATTATCTGGGGGCAGGAGCTTACCAAAGTCCATGCGATAATTGGCTAACAGAGAGAATTATAAGTAGAGCTAATCATCAGTCAATTGTTTCTATAGCTTACCTATTGAAGAGCCATTGACATACATGTTGATGGGCAAATAAAATATGCGCTGGAAATATAGACGTATACTACGCAGTGACGATTTGAAGCGCAAGCCCAGTACATCGTTGAGAGTGTAGGTATCCACAGTGTTCAACTTAAGTTCAATATTCGTGACATTGCCAACAAAGTCAAACATAAGCAACACGGTTTCCACATCATCCAACTTGCCTTGGTATACAGATCTAACAAATTTTCTGACATTTTTGAGCTGTTTGAATTGCAGGACCACCTCGATGATGTCACAGTCCACCAGAGGATCATTGCCCACTTGAAGTAAACCCAACTGCACCAGCGACTGAACATACACATTGGCCTGAGAGTATACGATTCAGTGATTAGTCGAGTTTTATAATTTAAGTGTTAGTGGATGCACCTGCGACTGCAACATGTTAGCCGTGATCGAATGGCCGGGCGACTGCAGCGGTGGTGTACGGCTTTGTTTCTCCTGCAGGATGAAGTTAATGAATTAATGCATACAGCAGCTTTCCAATGTTAGATCGCGACTCACTGAGGTATTGAACGCCGTTAGATGCTTGAAGTCCTTAGTATGCAGCAGAGACTTTTTGATGATAGCCAGCATGAGCAGCACCTCCGGCTTGTGGGATCGAAACTCGTTGCTAATGCAGATCAGCTTATGCCAGAACATTTTCAGCTGCAGCGGACTGTTGTTACCGCCTGTGCCCAGAACTGGCAAGCCACGCACGGGTAGAAGCAGCGATCCAATGGTCTTGCGTTCTATACCGCCGCAGGCAAAAAATGTGACCTTCACTGGCCGATGGTCCGTCTTGATGCGTTTTATCCCCGCCATATCGCACTCCCAAATACAATTGCTATTGAATATAATTGTTTCCGATGTGGCCGAAGGGGTTCCCTCAACTTCAAAGTCCACTGTGTTGAGGGCAGCATTCATAATAATCTGTTCCCTCTCCCCCTCCCTCATTTCGCGTCCATAAAAATTAATGGCTACAACAGAATTGGAATTAGAATTGCAATGAGCAACTAAAAGGATATG